GTGTGAAGATGGAGTGAGTCTGATCGCGAGACGTTTGAGTATGAATGCCTGCCTACGCGTGGGTCTTCTTGATCGGGGCAGCGCTGGCGAACCGTCTATGTGGAAGGTTCGTTGGGAAAATAACGTATTGTTCAGCACGGGAGCTCGCGATTGCGCGGCCGCTTGCGTTCTCTTGTGGGGCCGCAAGGCAGAGCAGGGCCTCCTGAGCATGAGCAAGACTTCGCAGGGCCATCTGCGCTCCGTGTGGTCTCGCGGGCACGCTGGAGGCTCTTTTGCGAACGTTTGCGAACACGTCTGGGGCAATTTGGGGGACTTCTGAATACCTTTGTTGGAAAATGACCCACATTGAATTTGGCGGCACTTTGGAGGCGCTTTGCGAACGATTACAAGAACTTTGGAAGCGCGTCCCAGTACTTATCGTCAGCTTCGAGGCGCTTCGCGGACGTGTGCGAACGCTCACTAGCAGTTTGGGGGCACCTTTGGTTACTTTTTGTCACTTCCGGGAACACTTGTTGGAAAAGCGGCCCAGAGCATTCTGGAAGGGCCATGGAAGCACTTTGCGAGCGTTGGCGGGCACCTTGGAGGCATTTCTGGGCAGTTTGGGACACTTTTGAAGCACGTTGCGACTGTTTACAAGGGCTTGCAATCACTGTGCGAACGTTTGCCAGCACGTCGGCGGCACTGTTCGGCACTTCCAGGCACTTTCAAACAGTTTGGAAGCACTTGTAGAAACTTTCTTGGGACTTTTGAAACATGTTTGCGAACGTTTGCTAACGCGTGCAAGCACATCGGAGGCAGTCTTGGGCACTGTTGGGCAAATTTGTTGGAACAGTAACCAAAAGTGCCAAACAGTACCTCCGACCTTCGCGCAAACGTTCGCAAGTGTCGCAAAAGTGCTCGGACGTGATTCCGAAGTGATTGCAAACGTTTGCGCAGCGCCTCCAGTATGCTTGTGGCGAAGGTGCTTGCTGCTTGCAAAACAATCGCAAACGTTTGCGAAGTGCTTCCCGAAGTGCCCGGAAGATCCCGGAACTCTTTCCAACATGTTTTTCGAACGATCGCAAACGTTCGCAGAGTACTTCAACAGTGCCCTGGAGTGCTTCCGAAATTCTTGCAAACGGCCGCAGAGCGCTTCCAAAGAGCCTCCAGCATACTTTGGGTACTCTTCCAGGAAATGTGCTCTCAAGTGCGCAACATGCTTCCGATGCGCCTTGGAAACGTTCGCCAATCCTCGAGAAGTTTTTCAAAGGGTCCCAGCGAGGACGAGGAGGAGGTGGAGGCGGAGGAGGAAGAACAAGAGGAGAAGGAGGAGGAGAAGAAGGAGGAATCCGATTTAGAGGGGTCGGACGAGGAGGAATAGGGGGCGGGGGATGGTGGAGCGGGGGAAGGGGGATGGGGTAGGAGTGCGATGAGGAGGAGAAGGATGACGAGCAGTGGAGGAGGACGATGATTACGGTAGGGTGCGAGCAAATTCAATTCGAATAGTAATGACTAACAGTAGCAGCGGCAGCAACAACATGTGTTAGCTGCCGTTGTTACTGTACTTGTTGTTTGTTGCTGTTGCAAAGGGGGCGCTGTGGAGGCACTTCGGCAACGTTTGCGAGCACTTCTGGGCGTAATTGATGTGCAAACGTCAGCCCATGAGTTTGATTTTTACTTAACAGGTATACGAGCCAGAGAAAAGGGGCATATACGGAGACACTTGGAGCGACCACAGTAAAGAAGACCGTAGACACTGCAATTGAGTATTGTGTGTCATTGTGTGTGTGTTCTTGTATGGCATGGTATTGTGCGTCTTCTGTCGTAGTTTTTCATCGGGCATGTGGTAGTACGGCATGAGATAGCATAGCAAAACGCTACTTTGGCCGATTCCAGTATATGGCTCGACTGGGCGAGGAGGTGGGATAGAACATGGAGGACGAGGACAGCAAGGTTGAAGTACTTGTGATATCAATGATGACGTCTTGGGGTTCTTCTGAGAAGGATGAGGAAGAAGAAGAGGAGGAGCCTCAACTACCGCAGGAGGAGGACGATGGCGAGGGCGAGTGATATGTGTTTTGTTGTTGATGTGTTTGGCCAGATCGCTCGCGACCGAGACGGGATGAGCGTGACGAGTGTTCTGCAGCGCGGAAATTACAGCACGGCGGTGCGCCCTGAAGCAGCACCAGGCGACAGCAGTTGCTGAGCGTGTTCTGTAGCACCGCTCTTAGAGCGCTCTTGTCCTAGATTGCTGGGCCTCTTCACGCCGATGGCGCCCTCTCCCGGACATGCTTGTCATAAACGTTTCTGAATGCCTGCAAGATCTTTCCGTCGGTGGGGCCTCCCTGGGGACCCACGCGTCGCTGGCCGTGGCAGCTGCCTGCGCGCGCCGCAGCTAAGACGAATGAAACTACCACTACGGGGTGTACAAATATTCGGACACATTCGAACACTAATTTCTTACTACGAGCTCTAGTAGTGAGACCATTGCCAATGCTAGCAGCTATTTGTTATCATATCGCACGTATACGACGGATATTGCGTACTGTTACTGAGACGAGTACGATTAATACCGTCTGGATTACGAATACGAATGCATGCGATAGTTGATGTTACGACGACTTCTATTGTTGATCGTAACAGCGGTAGCTCTACTACACACGATACTAATGCGATGGGCTGCCACGGAGACCACGGGAGACCACAGGAGGCTCCGGCAGACCACGGGAGACCACGGCGGCCGACCGATTCGAGTTCTTGCGATCCCCACACTCGTTTCTTAGAACAAGTGTTTCGGGCCTTTGTAGACAAGTTGTTCAGAACAAACATCGCAACGCACGCTTGTTCTATGCAGGTTTCTGCACCTGCGGGGCTCGTATGGGCACCCGGACCTTTATACATCACATATATATACAATGTATATATGTATATGTGTAGATATGTGTACATGTATGTGTATATGTATGTGTGTGTACATATATATATATATATATGTCTTAAGGGCTTCGCCCTCTGCCGCCAGCCCCCCTATTAGTAGTGCGGGCGGTTGCGCGGATAGCGTCGTGGGTGCTTGCTCAGGCGGTTGGGTTGGGTGCTTGCTCAGGCGGAGGAGAGGGAGGGCAACAATCACATGAACGGTCCAGGATGAAAAAACACGGTCCCCCGGAAGGGGTCGGGAAGAGGCCTAGGAGGAGTATAAGGAGGAGGATAATAAAGAGGAGGGGGAGGAGGAGAAGGAGAAGGAGGAAGAGGCCTAGGAGGAGGGGGAGGAGGATGAGGAGGAGGAGGAGGGAGGGGAGGAGGAGTAGGAGGAGGAAGAGGAGGATAAGGAACGGGAGGGGGAGGAGGAGGAGGAGGGAGGAGGAGGAGGAGGAGGAGGAGGAGGAGGAGGAGGAGGAGGAGAGGAGGAGGAGGAGGAAGGAGGAGGAGGAGGAGAGGAGGAGGAGGAGGAGTAGGAGGAGGAGGAGGAGGGAGGAGGAGGAAGAGGAGGAGGAGGAGGAGGAGGAGGAGGAGGAGGAGGAGGAGGAGGAGGAGGAGGAGCAGGAGCAGGGAGGAGGAGGAGGAGGAGGAGGAGGAGGAGGAGGAGGAGGAGGAGGAGGAGCAGGAGGGAGAGCAGGAGAGAGAGGAGGAGGGGGTGGCCCCTTATTAGTAGTGCGTGCGGCTGCGTGGATAGCGCCGTGGGTGCTTCTCGTGGCAGGCTTCTCGGCAGCGTCTGCGGGTCATTAATAGAGCTTCTTGGGAGCCGTTTTGGAGTCTCTTGGGGCATCTGTTTGGTCTCTTGGGGGTCTCCTTGTTGCCTCTTGGAGACCTCTTGGGGGCCTCTTGGGGCCTCTTGGGACCTTCTTGGGCCTCCTGGGGCCCTCTCGGGTAGGAAAGGTCGAGTTCTCGGTTCGTGGATTCCCTCTTGGACCTCTCTTGGGACCGTCTTAGGGCCTTTTTAAGTTGTCTGTGGCGCCTCTTGGTCCGTCTTGGGGCCCTCTCCGGCCGTCTAGGGGCCGTCTTGGGGGCCTATTGCGCTGCCATGGGAGCTTCTAGGGCCGTCGTGGGGCGATCGTGGGAACGTCTCGGAGCGTCGGAAAAGCCAACAAGGCGAGAAGGTCAAAACCTACAACAACGTTAGGAACATCGGTGATATTTGCGTCGTGGGGCCCTCTTGGGAGGCCCCTTGGAGGCCTCTTGGGCCCTCTTGGCAGCAGCATGGGCCGTCTTGGGGCCATCGCGGGACATCTTGGGGCCATCTTGGGCCGTCATGGGTTCTAGAGGCTCTCTTCGGAGCCTCGTCGGGCAAACTTGGAGGCCTCTCGGGCCGTTCTGGCCGCGCGGTGGCGTCACCATGAGAGTCTTGGGGTGGCCCAGAGCAGTCAGGATTTGAGGTCCCCCCCCCGTTGGCTGTTTGGTGGCGCGGCGGGCCCCCATAGCAGACAGTACTGCCTATGTGTGTATATATAGACACATTGCACACATTGATTTATTTATGTATGCATTCATATATATATATATATATTCATATATATATATATATGTTCATATATACATATATATATATATATATATATGTATATGTATGTGTGTATGGCCAAGTGCCCGTCCCAAGGAAGGATCGAGTCCTCTGGGGGGGTCCTATCCTGTCCTGACCTGTCCTGTCCTCCCCCCCTCCTCCCCATCTCCATTCCACTTCCTTTTCCTCCTCCCCGTCCTGGAGATGCGGGAGGGGGGAGGGTCGCGCGTGCGCGCGAGCCAGCCAGCGCCCCCTTTACCTCCCTCCCTCGTCTCTTCGTGCCCCCCTCGTCTCTTCGTGCTCCTAGGTCCCTCCTCGCTTCCTCCTTTTCTCCGCCTCCCTGTCCCCATCCCCCCTCCTTCCCCCCCTTCTCTCCCCTATCCCAAATCATTCCGCCCCCCCCCTTCCTCCCCCCCTCCCTCCTCCATCTCCCCCTCTCCCTCCCGGCCCCGCCCCCCCCCCCCTCCCTTCCGTCTCCCCCCCCTCCTTTCCCCCCCCTCCCTCCCGCCCATCGCCCCCCGAGGTCGCAGTGCAGCCGCGCCCAGGGCCTCGGCGCCCAGGGCGGCGAGGAGGGCGGCGGGGGGCCTCGGCCTTCCCTCTCCCCCTCTCCCTTTCCGTCCAGGCGAGGGTTGACGGGGGGGGGAGGGGAGGATTGGGGAGAGGGGGAAGGGGGGGGGAGGAAGCTGGGCAGATCGGAGGAAGTGATGGGGATGCTGCTGCTGCTGAAGCTGCTGATGAGGTTGGTGGTGGTTATCCTGATGATGGCAATGCTGATGCCAAGGATGATGTTCATGATGATGCCCATCAGGATGATCATGACGATGATGGTGGCGCAGGTGTTGGCGATGACGATGCCGACGATACTGGTGATTCGATCATAGTGGCGGTGGTGGTGATGGAGGCGACCCTGAGGAGGATGAAGAGAACTCGGGGGAGGAGGATGCGGTGGAGGAGTAGGAGTACGATTTGTCAGAGGAGGACTGATGAGGTGGGGCGGGAGGATAGTGGAGGAAGAGACAAGAAAGGAACGACGGGAGGAGGATGCTTAGGAGAAGCAAGAGGCGGAGGGGGGAGATTTTGATGATGACGATGATGATACTGATTATGATGATGAATAACCCCATGCCGAGGATAATAAAGTACCCCCCTTAAGTCGTTAGAGTTTTTTATCGTCGGCCTAGAAGGGTTTCAAACATAGGCGGAGGGCGCGGAGGCCGAACTTCATTATCACTGGGAAAGTTCGCCATCGAGGTTACTTCCTTCTTATGTCCCCCTACTGCTCCTCCTGCTCCTCCTCCTGCTCCTCCTCCCTCCTCCTCCCTCCTCCCTCCTGCCTCTCTCTCTCTCTCTCTCTTTCTCTCTTTTTCTTTGTGTTGCTTTCTGTTTCTCTCTCTCTCTGTCTCTCTCTCTGTCTTTCTTTCTCCTCCTCCCTCTGGCGCCCTGAACTTGTTTATCGCTGGGGTTGGTTATCCTGGGAAAACTAAGCACATGAGCTACCCTACACGAGCAGATGACCATTTTAATTTTCACTAAGCGTTTACACATTAAATATAATAAGTTTTCAACTTTGGATTTTTGCTTCTACCTCCTGCTCTGCTTCTCCTGCTCTTCCTCCTTCTCATCCTTCTCCTCTTCCTTTTCTTCGTTCTTTATATTTCTCTTTCTACTTATTTTTTTTCTTGTCTCCCTGGCCCCCTGAACTTGTTTATCGCTGGGGTTGATTATCCTGGGAAAACTAAGCACATGAGCTACCCATACACGAGCAGATGAAAAGTTTAATTTTCATCAAGCGAAACAAGCAATGATGTCTCAAGCGAAATAAGCAATAATCTGAACATGTCTCAAGCGAAACAGACACACATTTCGAGGATGTCTCAAGCGAAACAAGCAATTCGTTGAGGATGTCTCAACCGAGACAAACCATTGTTGAGGATGTCTCATAGAGGACCAAAGACCAAGGATACTCAAGATATCTTTGGCTTTTCCTCTTGATATCTCTTTATGCTGGCTCTGGCGGGCAACTTTTATCATCTCCCCGAAAACCCCGAACTTTATTATCCCTGTGTGTTTATTAGCCGCGGCATCCGGTTATGATGATGGTGATGATGATGATGATGCTGCTGATGATGATGACGGTGACGATGACCATGATAATGCGATGATGGCGATGACGATGATGAGGATGAGGACAAGGATGCTGATGATGATGATGATGATGATGATGATGATGGTTGTGGTGGTAGTGATGTTGGTGATGTGGATGATGAGACGGATGAGGGTGAGGTTGGTGCTTGTGATGCTGATGGTGATGACAGAGTTAATATTGATGCTGCTGATGATCATGCTAATGGTGATGGTGGTGATGATCATACTGATGAGATGATGATGGTGATGATGGTGATTACTATGGTGGTGGTGATGGCGATGGTACCGGTGCAGGTGCTGATGATGATGATGATGACGATGCCGTTGATGATGACAGTGATGATGGCACTGGTAACGATGATGTTGATGCTGATCATCATGATGGTGGTGGTGATGGTGATGGTTATGGGAATGATGCTGATGATGATGGTGATGGTGATGTTGGTGATACTGATGGTAATGATGTGGATGGTGATGCTGTCGATGATGGTGATGATGATTGAGGATGATGGTGACGATGATGATGCTGCTGATGCTCATGCTGAGTATTGTGATGATGGTGCTGCTGATGATGACGATGACGATGACGATGACGAAGATGATGATGTTGGTGATACTGATGGTGCTGATGTGGATGGTGATGCTGCTGATGATGGTGATGATGCTTGAGGATGATGATGACGATGATGATGATGTTGCTGATGCTGATGCTGAGTATTATGATGATGGTGCTGCTGATGATGATGACGATGCTGATGACGAAGATGATGATGTTGGTTATGCTGATGGTGATGATGTGGATGGTGATGCTGCTCATGATTGTGATGCTGATTGATGATGATGATGCTGATGATGATGCTGATGCTGATGCTTATGATTACGATGACGGTGCTGATGATGATGATGCTGATGATGATGCTGATGATGATGATGATGGTGGTGGTGGTGATGTGGATGGTGATGCTGCTCATGATGCTGATGATGATTCAGGATGATAAGGGTGATGATGTTGATGCTGATGCTTATGATTATGATGATGGTGCTTATGATGATGCTGATGGTGATGCTGATGATGATGCTGATGATGATGATGGTGGTGGTGGTGGTGATGGTGGTGATGCTGCTGCAGATGCTGCTGTTGATGATGATTATGCTTCTGCTGATGATGATGATAATGGTTATGATGATGGTGGTGATGATGCTGATGAAGATGTTGTTGATGATGATGGTGATGATGATGATGAGGAATTGTGATGAGGATGAGGAGGGGGAGTAGGAGGAGTCCGAGGAGGGTGAGAGTGAGAATGCTGTGGAAGACGCGGGCGCCACGCGGGTGTTGCGGGAAGCTGGGGCGACGCCTGCCTCACCAGGTTTCGGCGCTTGCTCGAGAGATGTCGTCATCGACTGTCGTTTCAAAAGTTTCCGAAGTCGCTCAGACCGACAGCCTTCTGATGAACAGAGCCTTGAAGACTGGAGAGCGCCGTGGGCCAGATGTGTTCCTGCGCATGTTTGACGAACTTGTAAAGCACATGAACAGGGAGTGGGGCGATCTTGGCATGGGATTGGTTTTGCCTGAGTCGCGTCGTCATTTTGGAGCGTTGCCACGCACACGTATGGAACGAACGAGGCTACGGAGCTCCAGCGGGTAGGGAGCGACCAGAACAAACCCACGGAAGCGGAAGCATGAGGACGCGACGCACGCGCGAGGGGGATGCCGTACAAATGTCGACGATTTTTGTGTTCAATCAACGGGCTTGGATTGGGGAATTCGTTTCGATTCATGTGCTACGCGATCTGGTTGGGATCGCTCCCGGCAGTCTTTTGTCATAAACGCCTGCGCCGTATACAGATTCCCATCGCCGACCGCATTCTATCCCAAAGTGTGGGGCGGCCGCTCGGCGAGAGCATGTCCGAGGATACATCGGATGTCTGCAGGTTAGATGACGTCCCGCTGCTAGAGGAGCTGGGGCGCTTCATATTATTCTGCAGCCGAATTGCCGTATCAATTAATTGAGAGCTCGTGGTTGACAGTCAATGTTTGGCAGGTCTTGCGATCGCAACACTCGCTGTGCACAATTTCATGCATGACTCGTGCGCCCGTCGCATCAGAGCGGGTTTGGCCAAGCTCTACATTGCGCGATGGTCTTATAAGGCGGACTATATGCACCCAGTGGGCTGGAGGCCCAGAGTGGAATGCAGCAGCGTAGTATCAGGAGGCATCAGGAGGCACTTTGTCCCCCACCTACATTCAAGAGCAGATCTACACCGCCATTGCTAACGAGGGCGTGCTACAGATATTCACAGACGGTTGATTTACAGCCAAAGACGGGGCTCATGGATTACGGATCGTGGCATGGAGCATCCGAGATTAGATGGTTCACAGGCGCAGGGTTGGCTACCTCTACGTATACATCCTGGATGCGACCCCCGCTTTTCAAATGGAGATTTTTGCGCTGGATGGGGCCGTTGAATTGATGTGCGCGCTTGACAACTTGAAGAAGGGTGCCCGCCAGGAAACAAAAATGAAAATGAGAGGACGAGGGGGCAATGCTGAGATGACACTATAAGGGACCACATGCGAACCCTACCCCTACCCCCCACGATTTCTGAGGGGGAGGGTGGGTTCACTTCGCTCTGGAGCTCCTGGACAGAGTGACCCCCACCCTCCCCCTCAGAAATCGTGGTGGGCAGGGGTAGAGTTCGCACGTGGCCCCCTATAAGAATCTTCAGCGGTGCTACGAAGGGTGCCACGGAGTCTGAGCTTGCCCCCAAGTGGTTGAGGGCGGGCTAGTCGTAACCCTACCAACTGCCGCCATCTACTGACTCGGCGACATGAGCAGAGCGGGCTACAACGAGGGTTACCTCGTCCATGCGAGGAGTTTTTCCGAACACTAAGGTTGTTTCTCCTTTAATTACCTCCCACGTTCCACATCAGCACATCCATACTCCTCCATTCCCCTGTTCGGGGATGGTGAAGTAGTCAGTGGCACGGGCCGCGGGCTTGCGAGCGCGCTGTGGGGGCGTTCTTGGCGGAGAGCGAAGGTGCGCGAGCGTTCCGAAAGAGAGAGGGAGAGAGAGATAGAGACAAAGGGATACAGCTATAGAGAGAGAGAGAGAGATTTCGAGAAAGCGCGAGAGAGAGAGAGAGAGCGAGGCAGAGAGAGAGAGAGAGATACTATGCCTGAGCGTGCGGGCGCGAGAGGTGCCCCGAGCTTTGGCGGAGCGCGCGCGCGGCGTCGAGGGCCTGCACCCTCCGCATCGCGCAAGCGGTGCGCAGAGAGAGAGAGAGAGCATACTACAAGAAGAGGCGCATGTCGGGGGAGGAGCAAGTGGAGGAGGACGACGACGACGGAGTGGGAGGATGGGGAGGATGCGGTCTATGAGGATCATGATAATGATGAGGAGGAGGAGGATCATGATGATG